CAGATGAATCAATCGGTTCGGTTTCACGTTTAATTGATGCTGGTTAATCAACTATTGGCTGCAAATCAATTCTTTTTTTCTGAACAGGTGTAGGACCTAATATACCCTTATATTATAAACCTGAAACCCTACGGATTTATTGCTCTGTCACTTTGTGCTGTATTGAACTGTTAATGTTGTAGTGTTCTCATGACTATATATTGTAACGATTGTAGATAAAAAAGTTGCTAACGTGTATGAAGTTACGATTTAATTAGTTTACACACAACCAGAAAAAAGAAGAGAGGAGAAAGGCAAAGAGAGAGAGAGAGATGATCAATGATACATAGTAATGATATAAGGTAGACCAAAGCATGTGATAAACAGAAATGACAGAAGAAGGCTAAACTTCATGTATGAACAGTCGATTCAATCGAGAACGTCACATATATTTCTATGGTATATTAATATACATGTGTACGAGTCAAGCAATATTAGCTCGTCACAGTTGGTTTCCTTTCCTTCTAATACAAAAGTAAATAACACGTAGTTGTACATTATATACAATATATCATCACTAATTTCTAATCACTCATGCCGACAATACATATATCGTCCAGCAGGTAAACATTCCTTATGTTTTCTATATCATAAATACTGTTGATATCAATCGATTGATCACTTTTCAAAGCTATTGATTGTGCATATGTATCCCTGTACCTTACTGTCTGCTCGCGAAGGCTAAGATCTTTTAAAAATAAAGAAAAACTTATTCTACCATTGTATTCAATCTGACTAAGAATATAGTTACAATTTCTTCTTATCTCTTATATGGAAAAGTTTCTAACTAACTTAATTTGACAAAGGTAGACCTAAATACGATAAGAAAATTAGTTTTAAAATATTCAAATCTATTAGCTAGCATTGTTGAGATGTAAAGAAACTACTAGTTGGATAAATGAACCTAAGATAACATCAATTTTCTCATTTGTCAGTCAGGTGTGAAGAATTGGAGAATGAAAATTGTTATGAAACATATTTAGTTAGTAATTAGCTATGCTGAAATTTTCACATCGATTAACTTAATATATTTTAATGAAATGCGTTATTTTTATCTTGATATCTTCGTCTTTATTAATTTTTCAATTGTTTTCTTTGCATATGAATAGCCTTGCAATGTGTAAGTGTCGTTTTCTTTTATGATTGTTACGCTTGATGTCCTTTCTTTATTGATTCATGCATAAGCATGTCTTCAACGTATGATGAATATAACTAATTACGTCAAATAGCTAAAGAGAACGAGTATCACTCTTTCATGGACACTTCTATCATTAAGTTTGTCACATGTACCTTGTTATATTAAACTTTTATCTAGAAATTCATTCTACGATGGATTTTTTCACTGTCTTATTTTCATACATTTGGATTAATCATATAAAAAACAACAATATTCTAATCATTTATTTAATGAAAATATTAACAAATGAAATATCTAAGGAATATGATTTGCTAATAGCATCACTATGTTGATAAGAAAGTGTATGCTCACATCAGCTTTATGAATATGTCTCTGTATATGAGCTAAGATCAAAGTATTTTTACTTTTTTTGTGCTTTTTCGGTACTAATTGTAGTTATTGGTACGTGTAATTATGGTATCTCTACTATAGATCGTCCTTTGTTCTTTCAAAAAACAAAAAAAAAAAGATGTGATAAGAATCTTTCCTTGTTTCTGACTAGTCTTGCTATGGATTACTTCACACATTCTATCCTATAAATGCCTTCTTTTTCTTTTGTTTTGTCAAATCTCTTTCATTGATCTTTTCTTCGTGCTCTCCTATACATAATGTTGTATTCTATCAGATGTGAAAAATGACTGAAGTGATGAACTAGTATAATCAATATCAACATTGAAGGTGATGATAAAAATACTATTATAGTTTTTCGTTGAATATTAAAATAAATATAAATTTAATAACGAATTGTTTCACCTTTCATTTTTTTTTTGTGTAAATATATTTTTAGGATTTTATAAATAGGAAACCAAATCATTGAAAGATTTAAGAATTAGTCTAGGAGAAAATCATGACATAGAACACATTAAGAACTGTTATAACCATTTCATTAATATGATATCAAAGATTTTATAACAAGAAGTAATTTAAATAGTTTAATTTTCGATCAAATTTATCTAGTAAAAATCTATAAGATCAACACAGGAGCTCTTGTATAAATTGATAAACAAAATTAAATGTATGAAATATCGTTTGAACTCTGAATCTTATACATTATACCAGTCAATCGATAATGGCAACGATAAGCTCTACTAAATAACATATTCGTTAGTTACAACAAATACTAGCATTTCTTCATATGGCGTTGCCTGATACTTCACAATTCATAGCACAGATAAATCAATCAAGATCGTATATTAAATAATTACAGTGTAACAGAACAACTGTTTACGGCAATCATAAATGAAGCTGTACAATATATTATGACTATTATGAACAATGATCATAAAAAACAAAATCTCTGATAACGACTAATGTAAAAGATGTTCAAATGACTTTGTATGATATCACTTAGGTCAACTGTAAACAGTTTATTAAATGATTTTTGTTTTCCATTCAATTTATTTGTAAAAAGTTACTATTGGCAACGATCTATACTGATTCAAGTCTAAAGAATATAATGAATAGATTCAAACTACATTATAAACATCCTACTAAATGAAAGTGATGCATTGATGAGTATCATGAATTTGTCACAATCATGCAAGAACATCGATCGACCTACAATTTTATGTTAAAAGATCAATAATTACTCGAATAGTAGATTAAAAATATCACATCATTTAGTAGATTCATGTTTTGCTATTTTTCTAGTCAAATGAGTAAACATTGTCGTATATCAATATTTCATTTTAAAAAATCTTTTTTTTTTTTTGAATAGTTTGAAGTCAAAATCAGCTATCTGCATTAGAGAACGATATATTAAGAGTAATATCGCTGATAATTATAATAAAATTGTCATAACTGAGTTAGAGTGTTTCACTCCTTTAATAATTGCTCTGTATAATCTGAAAAATAGGATACCATCATAATTTTGTATAAAACACTCATGAACAACTCTCTAGATATCTCAAACAAGTTGACATTTATAATTTGACAAAACTCCAGAACTACCTCCCAAGAGGATTTTCTGAGTGAAATATTGACATATAACAACTTTTACTTATTCTAACAGAAAAATAGCAAAACATGAATCTACTAGATGATAGGCTGTTTTTAATCTATTATTCGAGTAATTATCAATCTTTTGACATAAAATTATAGGTCGATTCATACTTCCACATGACTTAAAAAATGAACTTATTTAGTTGATTAATCGAAACTTTTGAGTCATGATGAGTTCATAATATTCTATAGTTTTCTTGAATTTTTTACGCTATCAGAACAAGTGATCTAGTTCATCAACAAATTCATGGATTTCAATAAAATTTCATCAAGTAACAAGATTTACAATAATTGTGAATATTACCTAGTATAACTCTGTTGTAACTCGAGAAGTTTCAACACTGATAATTGTACTAATCGATATTTTCTTTTGACTACCTTATAGAAAAAGTTTTAGACAGTTAGTTCTCATAAAGCCTAAGATTTGAGGAGAAATATTTTTAACTTGTAGTATAGGCCTAATGGTAGAATTATATGTTATGAAATATAACATTTTCATTCTCCGCTCTTATTCTATATCAATATTGTAGTCTTTCTATTCATGCTTGATCAATTTGCGCATCAATGATACTTCTCTTTCCTTTTGAACAATACACTTGTTTGATTTTTCTTTCTCTGTATATCAGTTCTATTGAAAAAACAAACATCCATATCAAGGTAGAGAACATCAATAATAAAGGATATATGCTTATCTTGAAGGCATTCTCTTACTTAAGTTTATTACTGTATAGGACCATAGTTTTAAATATAAATATATGGAGATCTATCCATCCAATATAGGTATAAGCATACAAATGTTATCGTTAGTACTATAACCGGGAGATTGTGGATGATAGAGTAGTGTCCTACGATCTTAGAGGAAATCTATGGAATAAAGTGTCAATAATGGTAATTATTACGTTTCACTGTCTTCTGATGGTAGAGCAAAGACGATCAGTAGTAGAACGCCGCCCGACCTAATCCATTCTTGGTTACGCCACTAATTATCGTACAGAAGTAACAATTTGTATCTGACCACCGTTACGATGGAATATGGTTAATTACATGCAGATACGATCGTAAAAGTTCATGTTTATAATACGACTGTGTTACGGTACTAATATTATGGTAAACGTTGTGCGTATTTTACTGTGTACGACATAACCTTTCATTACCGTAACACTGTCGTCACTCAGTATTTCATTTACGGTTCGTATACAGTCATAACGATATCGTTTACACTCTTGCTAATGATCAATCGAAGAGACATTAATTGTATGTAATGCGAAGTTAATTATCATTCCTTCTTTTCTAATTGTAAAATATTTATTAGTATTCATTCATTCATTCATTATAAGCATGTACAAAATTGAGACTTGAATATTCTAAAATTAGACTATTTTACTTTGTAGATGTTTTTTTAATTACATTTTTGATAAAATTATATCTTCTTTGAACCTAATAGGTTTCCTTCGTTTTTATCAGTTCACGGAAATAATTTTTTCTCAAACTATTTCTTTTTACTCAATTTTTCTTAGTGTATTTTATTTGATTGAAAAATCGTTCTTAAAAAAAAATTAAATCAATCGTTAAAGTAAGAATCAAAATCGAATATCTCTCTTCTAGACTGAACGAAATTTTCTAAGAAAGTCTTTAAGAATTAGACAGTTATAATTTAATTCAAAAACTACTGATGAATGTAAAAGTCTAATTTTTTTAGAAAATCATAATTTAAATAAAATAAAAAATTTAATTTGTTTCTAATTAATAGTATGTGACAATAAATATTAACTTTATATTTAGAATGCGGTCTCAAAATACAATGTGTATTTGTTTAATTACCATTTTACCATGGATGGTTTTCTTAATATTTACATATACTTACAGTCAGACTTGTATTGATGATGTTCATCAAACAGTTAAACGTATTGATAATGTTCATCAAACAGTTAAACGTATTGATAAAATAAATATAAATATTAGTAGTTCGATATGTGAAACCTCAATTGATTCATATCAAAAATGTTATAAGTATGTCACTGAATTGGTACCTTATAATCACGTTACACTTGGTATCGAAACCGTTAATCTTCTTAGAAAACAGCTGAAAGCTGTTAATCAATCATTATTGAATAGTTCGCTTTATTGGAATGATGACGATCGTTTTAAACCCTTTATAAATTTGATGTCATCAAGAAATGAATGTCAGATATTGTATTGTGGAGCCAATGAAGGTGGTACAGATGGCCTCGAATTTATTAGAAAATACGAAGATTGTCATGTCTGGTTTTTAGAACCAGTAACACAATTCTATGATAAATTAATTCATTCTCATAGTATACTGCAAGAATTGAAAACAGGTAAACATCATATGTACAATATTGGTCTATCAAATAAAAATGATCTTATTGATATAACATGGCAGGATATCAGAGAATCACAAGCTTTGACTTTAGTTGGAGTACATGAAAAAATGAAAGATATTGGTAATGAGTTAAAATACAAGTTAATTTTGAGAGATGTTGCAGAAATATTATTCGAATTTCATATATTATCAAAGACAAATAATAACATTGTAACTGGAGAATTAAATTTATTACATGTCAATTGTGAAGGTTGTGAATATGATGTTATTGAAAGATTAATCAAAAAAAATTTAATTAAATACATTAGAATAATACAATTTGGTTCACATCGACCATCAGCTATTCGTTCATCTATCAGTCAAATATATTGTTGCTTACAACAAATGTTGTCAACAACACATCATTTACAATTTGGTATACCATGGGCATGGGAAAGATGGTTGAGAAATGATCTAACAGAGCAAAAATGACTAACGCATCCATAAGATTATCATAAAAAATATGCAACATCATATGATTGTTTTTTTTGTAATGCAGTCAATTCTCGTTACGAGTATCTCTGTGTTGTTATATATATGTTAGATGTCCCAAAAATTTGATCGAAAAACAAACATGAATATTTCTTTTAAATCTTTCAAGAGATTTATGTAAGGCTTCTATAGTTTCATTCCATATTTATTAAAATTTTATTTCATATAAATTTGTCTCTACTAGATATAAAGAATAATTATTTACAAATGTAATACATAAATCTATCGTTTTTAAAAAGATCTATAAAACAACAACATATAAAATTTATTTTAATCTTAATGGAATATTTAGCAGATGTCATCAACCCATAGAATTATTGAATTTATCATATAATCTTGAAAAAAGAAACATTTCTTGTATGATATTAGGAAATCGAATGTTCAGGCATTTTTTTTTTGTGGTAATATTACTAATGGAGAAAAAGATTTCACTATTCTTTAAGCCTTTTTTTTTAGTTTCGAAGTAAGGAGATTTTGTTAGATAAACTCAATTTTATTTTCACAAAGATGAAATTTCTTCGCATTGCACCAGCAAAATTTGTTCATTTCTTCAAGCAAGTGTAACAGAACAAACAATTTATCTTAATGAGCATCCAGATCACTTGAACTGACGCAACTCAATGTTTGTAGAGAATATTTTTTGCAAACCATCTGTCAAAGATCTAGTTCAATTGAAAATGAAAATCCATAATAAGATTAAAATAAATTTTATATGATGTTTTTATAGATATTTTCAAAACTTAAATTTCGTGTATTACAATGTATGATAGATATATGATAATAAAAATCTATTCTATAAGAAACAATTGATTTATCGAATTGTTTTTGGATTATATCAGTACCATTGTAGAATTGGTGTTATCTGACCTATTGGTTGTTCTAGTATAATATAAGTGGATTAGGACTAGGTAAAAATTACATAATTCAGCTTGATCTCGTGATCTGCAGATCAAGCTGATAAATCTAAGAACAACGCGAAATTCAATATCAAATATTAAACAGAAAAAGTAGCAATAAAGTGATTTCCGAATGGACAACATTGATATTTAAAATAATTTTCAGGTAAATAGTTTTAATTGAAGACTTCGATAAATTAGTGTATGCTAGTATGAAAATCAAAATCATTTTTCGAGATCATATGATTCAATTATTAAATTAAACTTTATTATAATAGAATATCTTCGTTATAAGATGTCACGATAAGACTATTTAATAATAACATAAGAAAGCGATACATCAAATTTTAAGAAAAAAAGTGATATTTTCTTGCTGATTAGCTTTTTCAAAAACTTTATTTTTTTTTTATTTTTGATTCTTCAATATTATTGATGGAATAATAAATTAAATTTCATTTTCTAAGTTTTATCTAGCTTTACTCTAAAAAACGATTCCCAGTCGTTCATTATAATTAAAATTCATAGGTGACTCAAACTTTAGATGTGGTAGGCATCTATTATATTCAAATAAATTTACACATATTTAATAAAATTAATAAACTTATGCAGATAATAAGTAGGAGAATTCTGATTGGATGGACAACATTCTAATGAATATATATATATATGATTGAACAAGTCAAAAGCTGTATGTCTCTACTATCTTGTTTTTGTTTTATTTGTTTATTTTTCGATGTTATATCCAAAGAAAATATTTATTCATCTTATCTACCCGACACAAATACTCAAAATCTAATTGGAAGATAGAATTGCCAGTGTGGGTAAATTCCCAGTGATCGATATCATGTGCCTTGATATTTTTTCTTATATATAAGAGACCAATATCATAACGTACCCTCAAAAATATTCTTGTTCACGGTTAGATTTGGTCGAAATAGCTATATCTTGTTTGGGAATTTTTTCTTCAGAAGTTTTACTTTTTGTAAAAGAATATCGTAATTTGGAATTGCAATCTGAAAATTTGAAGAAATGAAGATCACGATTAGACTTTCTCATACAATAAGTTTCATCAATTTTGGCTATCTTATTGACAAAGTATAAAGTTTTCAATATATTCGCATCTTTAAATTGTATTTAAAGAAAAGCATATATTTTTTTGAGGAACACATATTCTAATATGTTGATATTGAAAATGGATGAAACTTGATCTATGAGATAGTATAATCTAGACCCTGATAACTATAAAGTTTCTGGTTGAAATTCCAAAATATGATTTTTATTTCAAAAATCGGATTTTTGTAATAATTCATATATAACTCGCTATCTTAGATCTAGTGATCCTTTATATATAGAAACAATATACAGGTAAGTAGAACAGATCATCCGAGAATATTTGAAAAAAAAACAAACTCTTGGATACTCTGTGTCTTTCGTGAGACAAATTTTCTATCATACGAATAACCTCGTTGTACATATTATCGATCGTATCAGCTTGTAGTGGATTTTGCTATTGCTATATTTCAACTAAAATCTGTACTATACTTGATAACAAAAGAAATGAAATGTAAAGAAAAAATTCTTTCTCTTCAGTTACTTTTCATTTGCAGATATATTTCAGGTGCATATGCTTCTGTTTTGTGTTTAATTACAAAGCCATTTAATTGATAGACGTTTCGAAAACATCAGCTTTCTTCTTTAGTGTTTTACAATAGAATACAATAAAGTACAACAAAATAAAACACATATATAACACAACAAAATTAATTAGCGCATAGCTACACATACTTTATCTTTTTTTTGTTTTTATTTAATACTGGCACGAAAGAAGAAACAAGACGATAATACTGGACGAGATGGGTTAGAGTTCATCTTCTTTCATACCAGTATTGAGTATACGAAAGATGCGCACGGATCGAGATATCAACGTTTCGAAAACAAACAAACTCTGTCAACTGTATCGGCACTTACACCCATATCTATACTCACGTCCGCACCTTCATTCTCGTATCAAACTATCACGCACTGCTTACAATCTCGCCGTGCGCATTTTTTGGGATCCCATCAGTATTAAATAATAAATTAAAAGATAAAATGTGTGTATAGACACCTGTGCGCTTATCAGTTTGATTGTGTTATATATGTGTTTTATTTTGTTGTACTTTATTATATTCTATTGTAAAACACTAAAGAAGAAAGCTGATGTTTTCGAAACGTCTGTAAATTAAATGGTTTTGTAAATAAATATAATTTATTATGGAAGAGTAACTTAAACTGTATGTATTACAATGCTTCTGGTAATAAAATGATGTTTTGTTCGCTGACATTTATTATACACTAGTTTCACGCTTTCGTGAGATATTTATTAGCATGTATTCTGTTTTGTATATTTGAAATATGTTTCTTCTCAAGGTAAAAAATTACTTTTGTCTATCGATAACAAAGTTTTGTGGTAATGAGAAAAATTATTCATCGAAAAAGAAATATTGATAATGAAATTTTATTTTTTTTATGATAAATATAAGAACAGACGAATATCTATATGTAGATAAGAATTAAAAAATTTATCATATATCAAATATTATGATACTAAATGTCTATTTTTTTTTCTGTTATTTGTCTTATATTTAGATCAAAAGAAAATATCGAGATGTTGAATGAATATTTTTCTTATTAATCATTATTTATTCTGTATTGATTCATAGTATACCGTTCGACAATATTATTTTAATAACAAATGAATGATGAAATTCAAACATTTATCGAGTTTTTACTCGATACTGAAACAACATCAGAAACATTATTTAATCAAGCAATTACTGAAAAACAGGAATTATATAATAATGTGCGCAATGGTTCTGTTTTTAAGAAAATAGTCGATCAAAAATTCCAACAATGGAAAATTTATTATCAAAAAGAACAAAGTGCTATTGCTAATGAAATAGCTTTAAATGCTGGCAATGAAACATCGGATGAAGAATCCGAGAGTGAATACGAACAAGAATCATCATCTGATGATGAAGATGAAAAAATATCACAAGTACAAATGCATAAAAAAGGCCAGGTTAATTTACATTTTTTATATTTTGATGTATAAAAAGGACAAAGATGCATCAGTACCATCCTCAATAGGATTTCATAAGAAACTATTCCGTAACAGAATAATGTCTTTTCTGAAGGATTCAAATATTCATATTTCTACCATACATTCATACATGGAAAGATGGCTCGTATAAAGTTTTCCATATTTATATATTTTCAATTGAAAACTATGTCAATATACTATTCATTGTTTTCTTAATATCTTGAGAAATTAAAAAAAACAGCATGGATTTTTGTTAAGATGACTTGAATTTCGAATAGACCTCAGTTTTTAGCCTGATTTTAATAGATTTTGATTGCAAAAAGTAGGTCCTGAGTATAAAACAAATAACATATTTGGAATCAGCATACAAAAACTGAGTTCACTTATATGTGTTTCGAGTTTCTTATATTTCGCAAAAAATTCCGCTATAGTTTCTCTGAAAATCGAATCAAACCTATGAAGTCATTGGATCAGTGGAAAATAAATTATGAGCTTGTAAAACGTCATTACAAGACAAAGAACAAATAGATCATGAGAGAATGTCTTCAACTGTTAAATTACTTTTTGATCGAGTATATGCTCAAACGATAGACCTTAATAAGCTATTAAATATCCTACAAAGATTTAGTTTTCTAAGCCTTCATTATCGAGATATCGAAATTTTACTAGATTTTTCAACAACAAGTCATGGTCCTCCTCAGATCAGATCGACAATCAAGTTCGAAGTTTGAATTAAAAACTTCAGTTTCGATCTGAAACTGAGGAGAACACCACGAGTTTTTGATGAAAAATCTAGTAAAATTTCGATATCTCGATAATGAAAGCCTAGAAAACTAAATCCTTATAGGATATTTACTAGCTCATTAAGATCTATCATTTGAACATATACTCGATCAAAAAGTAATTTGACAGTTAGGAATGTCCCTTCATAAGCTGTAAAAATAGTATTTCCAGTAAATTCACTTTTGATTTGAACCCTGAGAGAGGCTCAAGTTGAATTTTTCGAGAAAAGAAGAAACTTCAAAACACATACAAATCGATTCAGCTTTTCACGCTCATTTCAAATATTATTATTATTCATCCTTAATCAAAGTCTACTTATTCTAATCAAAATCTGTTAAATATTGATGAGAAAATGGTATCATAACGAAATTCAAGCCGTCTCATTTTGGGTGCTTGTTTTTTTTTGTTTCTTTATATAATAAGAAAACAGTGAGCAGAAATAGTAATGTAACTAAATGATTTTCATCTACATTTAGAACAACATTGATGTGAGTATTCAACCCTTCGAACTGAATTTGCTTACCTGAGAAAGAAAATATATATGAACTATAAATATATGATTCCAAGGCGAATTTTTGCATCTTTGAGAAATGACATCATTTTGTTATTAGATAATTCCTCAATGAAATTCTAAATTACGTAAACTAGAAATGAAGTGAAACTGAAGATGATCCTTCTACGCCGATATTATTTTTCTATTGATTTATATAGACAATTCAATCGATTAAACAATCTGAGATCTTCATCGATCCAATTAGTCAATGTAAACGACTTCTTCAATTTTTATATTATTGTCAACAAGATTATACTCATTTGACTGATCTTTATTTTCATACGCTTGATCATTGTGTTAAGAGTGAAAATGAAAAGATTGGTGCTGTAGCTTTACAACAAATTGCATTACATTTATCAGATGATGTTAATGATCAAAAACAATATCAACGACTTATTCAATTACTTCCATCAAATTTATTATCTTCTACTATACCTGAAATATATAAACCTATCTTAACAACAATTGAAATTCTTCGTTCAAGAAAACAAACTAATCAAGATATATTAACAGTTATGTCATCAAATGATCTTGATATTCTCTATCCATATAAAGCACGTTTTCTTGATTTACATCGTGAATTTCGTGATAGTACACATTATTTTATTGATGGTGATTCATTAATTCTATCTATTGCTCATCATATTAATATTGATCTTATATCATATTATGGTAATACACTTCATATTATTTTTATTATTGAACGTATTCTTCTAATACTTTTTAATCAAACACAACAATCTAATTATACATTAATATTTTTTGATTGTCATTATCAATATTATGAAAAAGAAAATTCTATATTAAGTCTTATTCGTACTTGTTTTATAATTCATCTTTTAAAAAATATTAACAAATATGGATTATTAAAAATAAAAAAATTTTCATCATGGCTTGATAATGAATATATAAAATTTATTTATGAAGAAAAACCACATTTTATATTCTATCATGATATGTCAAGTTTTGATATTAATAAAGATCATCTTTTATCATCAATTGCATTAAAAAATCTTCATTATATTTATCGTTTATTTGGTAATTATCATCAATATTATCATCAATCGAATTTATATCTAATGAATAAATTAATATTAACTGATACAATGGTTAAATGTTTTCGAATTGAATTTAAGGAAAAAATTTCAATGAATTTATTAGTAAAAAAAGTTAGAATACTATCATCTTATCAAATTTTTTCCATATCAGAAAACAATGATTCAATCGAATTTGAAAAGAAAATCTATGAAATAACAAATCAAAATGATGTACGACTTTTTCTTTATCTCAAAGCAATAATGAATATTATGGAAACGAAAAATGTATGATAATATTTTGTTCGAAAAAATCATCATTATTTTTTTTTTGATTAGGATCAATCAAACAGCAAATCTTTGTTCAATAGTATTAGTCAACTACTTGTTCTTCATGTAGCTCTTCTGATTCGTTTATCATTAATCGATCGTCATCTTCCATCAAAATTTCCTTCAATTACATTTAGTTCGATATTTTCTCAATTGATTAATCAATTTCAAGAATGTCTTACATCATGTCTATGCTCATATTCTTCATTATTATCGTATTCAAAAATAGTTGATATGTTTGATGGACGACTTTTTGCTTTTACTATCTATCAACTCAAACAATCATCATCGAAAATGAGATTTGATTCAAATACAATGAATATTGTCAAACAATGTTTAACTTTATTGAAATTTTCAATAGATGAAAATATATTTTATAATATAGTAGAAGAATTAATTCAATCAAAACATATTATATTTGCAACTTCAACATCTGATAGACAACTAGTACCAAGTGAAAAACAAAAAATTGTGAAAATATCAAATTCATTTATTGATAATTATTTAAAACCAATACTTTCAACAAATAATCAATGGACATTCGATTTTATCAATCCTGATGAAAGTTCTTCAGCTCGATATGAAGGTATAATTTTTTTTTCTTCAGATATATCAGATATTTTTAAATATACTATATTGTATTTCATAGGAAAATATCATTGGCATGTATACAAAGAGGTATATTTTATAATTATTAACTGTTATTTTACAATCTATTCTTATTTTTAGGTTGGCGATGAGATAAGTCGTATACGAAATAATGATGATGCATACAGAAGTTCGAATAAATACCGTTATCGAACCAAAAATCAACAAAAATTGTAAGATTGAATATTATGTATTTTATCCTAAATGATTTCTAAAAAACATCTAGTGAAAAGATTATAGATGAAATTGCCTAAACTTGTAAATAATAAACATATCTTTCATAGAACACAATAGAATTGGATTTAGGCCAACCTTGTACTACTATCCATTTTAGAAAAAGAAGTTTTGCAAGTACTTCTTGAAAATATTTTGATTAAAACAAAATAGCCAGTTACAGATTTGACCATGACATAGAAAAGACTCGAGTGCATTAATTCTTCTTAGAAATTTAAAAAATGATATACCAAACCTATTTTACGATTGACTTCGATTGTTAATATGTTTAGTAAAGAAAAAACATTGTTCTCTTTTGATTTTCACAAGGGAACCGAAAAGTTGAGCATCGGAAAGATAAGCACAAGGAAAGTTCAACACCGAAAAGAGAAATTAATTTAGACATGGTGATAATGGGCAGCCAGAGGGGAAAACAGCTGATTTTAAGATTACAAGACTCCCAAATACTTCAAAGGATTTTTCAGAACTTCAAGAAACTTCCAATGATTTTAGGAAACTTCTAAAGACTTCAAAAGATTCTATGAGATTACAAGGGATTTCGTAACCAGAAAAAAACCACAGACTTCAAGATTTTGAGACTTCAAAAGGTTTCTAAAGACTTCAACAGATCTTCAAGACTGCACGACTGAAATTCCTGCTGTTTCCCCCTCGGGACAGACGAATATTGAGTATAGATGTAGAGTGGATGACTGTTGGTGAAGGTGAGTTGGTGTAGATGTGAGTGAGTGTGGGTGTGAATAGGATGGGTGGCTGTGAACCCGCAGGGTGTGCATAACAGCTTGATCTTCTATTCACATCCACCCATCGACTCACATTCACAACCACTCGAATATCTCACCAACTCTCACATGCCTACCTCCACCCAACCGTCAATTTCACCGGCACCCACTTGTCTATACTCACCTGCACTCAGTTGTATCTACCTTCTCCTAAACCCCTTTTCCTACCTATGCCTACACCCAACATTCGTCTGCTCATTATCACCATGTCTAAATTAATTTCCCTTTTCGTGCTCAATTTTCTGGTGCTGAACTTTCCTTGTGCTTAATTTTTCGTGCTCAACTTTCACCGATCCGACCTGAATTCTATTCTGTCCTGCAATGGATTTATTCAAATATTATTAATTTTTTATTATTGTTTTTTTGTTTTTGAATTGTAAATAAGTCTATTTCTTATAGTTATACGTATTTCACATTGTATGGTAAATCACTTACAAGTCGTGATGTAAAAGATAATCAACTAGAAATCGTTCTTCCGGCTACACATACTGTGAATATGGATAGAACAAATTCTGCATCTGGTGATAAGAAAAAACAAAAAAAAATTCATCAAACAAAAGCTGAAAAGATTATAGAAGAAAATAAACAACGAAAAATTGATAAACATATGGTAGATGAAAGTGAACAAATTATTAATGTTAAAGATTTATTAAAACAAATTCCAAATGATAATTATTTAAAAGCTATTGAAATTATTGATGGAAGTTTATCGAAATTTAAAACATCTTTAAATCGTTTTGAATTACTTAAACGAAAATTTTCTTTACAACGAAAATATTTACAATCATTGAGAAAAAAAAGTACATTAACAAATGAAGAAAAATCTAAATTAGATTATCTTGAAATTGATTATTTTGCAACAATGGCTGAAATGATTAATCTTGATAATATTGTTGATGCATTTAATGAAAAGAAAAAATATATGGAAGAACTTCTTGATAATTCACCATTAGATCGAGAAAAATGGTATCGATTTCAAATAGAAAAAATTAATAGTCGATTACCAAGATGTCAAAAAGGTATCCCCGATAGTCGAGTACCTGATTTTATTCCAGACAATTGGCAAGTAAAATTTCTTGATGCTGTTGATAAACAACAATCAATTATAATTGTATCGCCAACAGCTTCAGGTTAGTTCTACTTTTCTTTTTTGTTCTTATTAATTTTCTGTGATTTCATTTATAAATCTAGGTAAAACTTATGCATCATATTATGCTATGAATAAAGTACTTAAAGATCGAGATGATCCAAATGGTATTTGTGTATATGTAGCACCAACGAAAGCACTTGTTAATCAAGTTGCCGGTAGGATTCTGTCTGTTTTATTGCTTGATCGAAATTAATCTATGAATATATTTCAGCAACAATTCATTATAAATTTGGTTCTGTATTTGGAATTTTTACACGAGATTATCGTACAAATATGAACGGATGTCGAATTTTAGTTACTGTTCCACAATGTATGCAAATTCTTCTTCTATCACCTAGTCATCAACGTTGGTGTCAAAGAATAAAATATGCTATTTTTGATGAAATTCATTGTATGTCTGGTGAAGCTGGATCTGATGTTTGGGAAAAAACAATGTTACTTATTAATTGTCCTATGATTGGCCTTTCAGCAACAGTTAATAATGGAGATGAATTATGTCATTGGATTGAAAATATTGAAAATCAACGTTCTAAATTATTTCCAACATCAAAACCACGCCAAGTATGTTTTATTGCTCATCATGAACGTATGGCCGATTTAAATAAATATTTATATTCAAATCGACAATTATATCCAATTCATCCAATTGGTCTAATGAATGCAAAACAATTAATAACACGAGGTGTTCCCAAAGATTTTTCATTATCACCTTATGAAACTTTACAATTAAATGATGCTATGAAAACATTATCAACTAATAGAACGTAAGTCTACATTAAGTATTGAAAAAAATTTCCAAACTTCTTTCATTAAATATTGCTCTATTACTATTCATCTCAAAATAGAAGGCAAGCGATTGTGAGTTGAATAACTCGGGAACAGTAGCGGCTATGGAGCTGCTATTTTCACCACTAAAAAACGGACACCAGATCACGTAAATCTATGGAAAAATTTCATTGATCAGTAATGAATCAATAGGATGAAAGCCGGCTGGATATTTTGAAGACAGCTTTTTAAACACTGTTTGCGTTGGATTTTGAACTTCAATTAAATCATTCAATAGGAAAAAATTGTTCTCTTTCGATCTACACAAGGCCGAGCTTGATAGCTTGTTCCGTCCGGTAGCTATAAGCATTTTCCTGAGAGCCTCGAAATCGGCCAGGTGACGCGGAATCATTCTTAAAAACATTAAATTATAGATAATCGATCACGCTGAATTCAGTGATGACGTTTATTTTTCATTTTAAAAGAATCTGAGATCATTATAAAAAAGTTTTCATAAATCTAGTTTTTGCTGCTATTTCGCTTAAAGAACACGTATATTGAAAATCTCGATAGAGTGATCTCAGATTACTTTGAAATGAAAAATAAACATCATCACTAAATTCAGCGTGATCGATTACCTATAATTTAATGCTTTTAAGGATGATTCCGCGTCACCTGACTGATTTCGGGGGTCTCAGGGAAATGCTTATGGCAACCGAATGGAACAAGCTATCGAGCTCGGCCTTGTGTAGATCGAAAGAGAACAATTTTTCCATAGATTTACGTGCCCCGATGTCCGCTTTTTAATAGTAAAAATCGCAGCTTCATAGCTGCTTCCGTTCCCGAGTTATTCAACTCACAATCATTTATCTTCTATTTTGAAATGAATAGTAGTATTCGTGTCTGGATAGAGTTTGTACAAGAGATGCAACGGTGATAGTGGTTCACCGTCACTTATCCCATGTCACGTGTATCAGTAGTTATCAAAAATGCAAAATCTAAACATTCTAGTAGACTTCTATTTGGTAAAGAATTTTCCTTTTCACATGATTTTATTTCTTGAATTAAATGTAAGCTAAATTCGAATAAATTTAAATCAAAAGACTAACAGGCTTTTCTGTTTTATTTTTGAAAATTTTTTATCTTCTCAATGGAATCCTGTCTTTATATAGATATGTAATGATCTATAGTACGTAAAACGCATATATTTCTGCAGATTCATTTTCATAGATTTCTCTATATTAAATATACAGAAAAGTAATCTTTGAAAATAGTAAAATGCAATTCAAGTCCACTAACGATCGAATTACATCGGATGTGATTTTTTAATCGGACTTTTATAAGAGTTCGTTCTCATGTACTGTCGTCTGCAAGTTATTACAATTTTCCTGAACGCTTTATCTCAGATAAAATAGTTGTGATAAAATCAAAGTATAGAATTTCAACCTGAGAAATCATCCAATAGTAAGACTGGTGAACTTTAAAATGTCTGGAAAATTTCAGCGTAGTTTCGCAATTCGATTATTTTACAAATATCTTGAATAGAATAATAAAAATTCTACACAACTATAATAACTTGGGAAAGAAAGTGTATGGAGGCAAACTCTTATAGATTTCTACAAGTTTCGTCAGAACCTACTGATTGGTAAAATATAAGTTTTATTGAGAAGTCACATCTGGAAAACGTTACCTTGTAAGCTCTTTGACTAATTACTAAAATTCTTCTATTCACTAACGGACGATACATAAATTATACATTTTTCAGTATTTCTGATGACAATCCTTAAATAATAATAAATGTTCTTTTATCATTTGATAGAGGAAATGATGTTGAAGTAAATCCAATACCAACATTAACACAATATTTTGAACCCGATTGGATAATCGAACGAACTAAATGTAATGATTATTCTCAATTTGTTCGTAATCAATTCGATAGTTTAATTGTTAATAAAGAAAATACAATTATTGATTCAATTGTAACATCTCTTAAACCAATTGCTTCGAAAGATATTCGTTATCCTGAAACTAAATCAACATCATCATTAATTATTGATTTTATATTGACATTAAAAGAAAAAAATCTTCTACCTTGTATTGTTTTTTCGGATAATCGAATGTTATGTGAAACAATGGCTACAAGTGTTGCTGAATATTTTGAAAATTTAGAAAAAAATTTAAGAGAAACAAAATATAAAAATCAAATTGAATTATTAAAAAAACGTTTAGAAACAATTGAAAAAACTGCAAAAAAAGTCAAACAAAAAAAAATATTAAAATCTTCGAATAATCGAAATCATGATGAAGATAATATTGCTGAATTAGAATTATTAGAAGAAGAAAAAAATAATCAAATGATACTTTCCAGTCTTGAACAACAATTATTAGATGGTATGTTAGATGAAGGTACATTAGCAAATCGACATGAATGTGATCGAGAATTAGTTGATTCTCTATTAAAACGAGCATCATCAGAAAATCCAAGATTAGTTGGATATATGCAACGAGGTGTTGCTTATCATCATGCTGGTTTAAATAATAAAGGTCGAGTAGCTGTTGAAGCACTTTTTCGTAATCGATATGTTCAAGTAGTTTTTTCTACGGCAACACTTGGTATGTAACAAAAGATTTTTTTTACTGTATTCCTTAACAATAACAGCTAGAAGAGATCAGAGAAAAGATTTCATTAGCTAAAACAATTTCCTAAGAAATTAGTTGAGTCCTATTAAAAGTCGTTTGTCAAAATCAATATTTCTAAAAAAAGCCGACATTTTTCGAGATAAACAAATTTCTTTTCGATAGTGTTCGTTCTGGTGAGTTGCATTTTGTTTTATTCGATAGACAGATACGTTCTCTTTCGGTTGAGACAAATAGATTTTATATTCGACCTTCAGTACTAAAACAATCATCAGTTGTCTAGAAAACATTTTCTAAGATGTTAAGAGCACTGAACATGAAAAAATTCTTTTCCTCTCTCGAAACGGTAAAGAATTCTCTTTAAAATGAGAATAATCAAAACGTTATACTTTGAAGTATATTCAAAAAGAATTTGTATGTACTTTATACTATAGTTTCTGAAAATTTCATAAATGGTAAAGCTAGAAACCGTAAGTATTTTATTTAATAGTGTATTGTCATTAATCAAACATCTTCAGAAGACTCACCAAAACTGGTTTGAAATTCTATCAAAAAAGTTTCCCTGATAAAGAAAACATTATTCTACGGATGCCACTAAAAATGTAAAGCATAGCATTCATTAATTAAACAGCTATATAGATCAAACTCACAATGATTGGCGTTCGTTCCAGAGAACTTAAAGATATTTTATTTTGTTCGGAAATATTGTATCTATTAGATCAGTTTATTAGCATACTTTTTTTATTCACAGAAGCCAGATAATCGATTTTTTTTAGTTCTAGTTTCTCAGAGATCTTTCATCTAAATCTGTTACCGGACATATGATAAGTAACTCTCCTAGTAGTCAATTCTTTTAGTTAATCAAGACTTTTCTTCAATTTATTCTTACTATTACCGTTAAGAAAATAATTCAATATTAAAATCTTTTATTTTTCATCTTCTAGAATATGAATTAATAAAAATTCTCTAATTTTTTTTGTTTTTAGCTTTGGGTATTCATATGCCAACAAAAACTGTTGCTTTTGTTAAAGATTCAATCTATCTTGATGCATTACAATATCGACAATCATCAGGTCGTGCTGGTCGTCGTGGTTTTGATGTTCAAGGTCATGTTGTATTTGTTGATATACCTTTACCAAAAATTAGTCATTTACTTATATCAGCTATACCAAATATTCGTGCACATTTTCCAACAAGTGTTACATTTTTAATGCGTCTTCTTCATCTATGTTCAAATGCTAAAGATTCAAACGATGCAATAAATCGATCATTAATTGCATTACAATGTTCTTTACTTACACAATCATCTATAAAACATCAATTAATAGATATTCAAACACATTTTCATTGTTTATTTACATTAGATTTTCTTTATCGATTAAATTTAATTAATCAACATGGTGATCTTATTGGTTTAGCTGGTCTTCTAACACATTTACATTATTTTGAACCAGCAAATATTTTGCTTATCTATCTTATGGATACTCAATATTTTCATTTAGTTAAAGATGAAATAAGTATTATGACTATATTTGCTTATCTCTTTACTTATATGCCATGGTAAGTGAATGAACAGATTTTAATAATTAACTTTCTCATTACTTTCTGAGATATCAGAAAAATTTGAAATTTTCTGAGTGTATAGATCTCGAAGAGTAGACATTTCGGATATTGTTTTCTATGAGATATTGAGCTCACAATATGTCAAAAGGATTAGTCTCGTTTCTTCAATGTGCTATATTCAATTGAGTTGAATGTTTGTTTTTGCACATGCTTGATACTGTTAGAGATGGATATCTATCTTTGATTCTCTTCTATATCTCCATTAAATAATGATTAGTATATGTGAAACAGAAGTTACAGTTCGATCCTTCTTATCATATAGAAGAAACTGAAGTAAAACAATACTTTTTTTCTATTCCTACAAGATGTCCATAATTAGACAGGCATGAATAATATACTTCTCTATTATTGCTATGAGAAGAAATAGATCTGAATTCGAAAATTTTCAATTTCACCATATTGATCGTATCTAAAATCGATGTAGAACGATGACTATGGGATCTTAAAAATCGTTCTTTTCAAAGTCAAAAGAAGTTATTGTTTTGCATATTACCAGAAGACACTCTAAAGTACTTACATGTATGAATAAAAGACAAAAATAATTGATTTTTTCGACCCAGAACAGAGGACAGAGGAATGTAACCTTAATATATATCATTCAATATATTTTATAGGCTAATTACATACCGTGAATACCAAGATCTATCAGTATGTCGACGAGAATCGAAATATAATTCGAAATTATTTTTACCAATGATTTCGAATGAATTTCGAAAGCGTGTTGATGCATACAATTCAATAGTTAAAGATGTATATGGATGTTATATAGAAAATGTAACAAAATATTTACGTTCATTAAACCATGAACAAGAAGAAATCTTACCTTTTTCAAATATATCATTTTCTCAAAAATCTGATTATGATAATGGAACATTTGAATATAATCTTCATTATCATCAATCACAACAAAAAACAAATCCATCAATATCACCATTTGCTGGTCTATCTGGTCTTACACATGAACAATTTATGTCAAATTATAATTCAATTATTAGTTCATGGGATCTTGTTTATGATCTTGATTTATCACCAAAAGTTATTCCATTTGTTGATATTGATTGTCGTGATCATACAAATACATCATATCATTTGAACAGTTATGGATTAGATTTTTTTAAACAAGGTTCTGAAACATCATTAATCAATGAAAATGGCTTAAGTCCCGGTGATACATATAGTCTTTTATTGGATCTTCATCTTGTACTTTCGTCTGTTAAAACATCATTAGAAGTAATTATGAAGAATGAACAAAAACAGACTACAAACAATGATTTAGTTATATTTGAGTCATTGTATAAAACATTATCAAATGTACAATATATATTTTCAAGCAATTTTCAAAGACAATATCCAAGTCGAAATCAAATGTAAACGATTTCATATTAGCCTGTGATTAAAATATGAAAATTTATCTTTTTTGTTCTGTTTTATTAAGCAAGATAATTATAATAAACTCGCATTTGTTCTTCAAGTTATCTTTTGATCGTCATATTCATTAATAAGCAAGGCACTTAAAAGAGGTATAAGTGTCTGGGTGTGAATGTCAGTGCGGGGTGTGAGAATTCATACCCACACCCACACATTCTAATGACTAATCATCATTATTTTCTTCGAAGTTTGTTCAAAATAAAACAAAACAATTCAGTTTCATAAATGCTTCTCTATTTAATGTTCCCACGTTCATCAATAAGTAATCATTGTCTACATATATTATCTATCATATATTAAAAAAAAAACAAGAATAATAAAAAACTTTTTTCTTTTAAGTAATAACGATCATAAAAAATGATTAAAGTTGTTTAATAATTTTAGTATTTTAATCTTCATTATATCTTCTTCTTTTTTCGATTTGTTTTAATTTTTTTTTCATATTTCATTGCCATGTTCTGTAATAGTTATACCAACATCAATTATTATCACAAATCCAATGAAATTGTTCAAAATTTTCAAGACGAAATCCTTTTTCTTTTAATTCAAGGTTTCTTCTCTCAAATAATTCATCATTTCTATACTCATCAAGTTTAAATAAAATCTAAAATTATTAGAAAGAAAAAACTTTTTTTATTATTTACATGATAATAAGTAAAAAGATCGAAATCTGAATCTTCTATTATAAAATAATTCAAGGAAGAAAAGTTGAATTTTTGATTGCAATCAGTTTTTTCTTCCGTGTCACAAGAAGTTGTCTTGGCTAACCAGGAGTTTATCAATGCTATCTGTCATTTGACAAAGGCAAGCTCATGTTTCACTCTGACTATACGAGAGAACAAACAAGGTACGATCAACTGGTTGCACTAGGCTTGTTCTCTCTTATAGTCAGGGTGAAACATGGGTTTGTCTTTGCCAAATAAGAGGCAGCATTGATAAATCCCTGATTGGCCAAGACAACCCCTTGGAGTGCCTTCACTACATGAGGAAAAACCCTCCTAAAATCTGATTGGTTGATAGAAAAAGCTTTCAATCAATCAGATTGTAATTCATTTACTTTACTTTACTTTTTGGATAAAGTTGACATATTTTACTTTATTGAGTACAGTAAAGCTGACTTACTTTACTTTACTTCTTAAAGTAAAGATAAAGTGCCATTTCTATCGGTTGCCATTGAATGACAATGATTGCTTTGATTGTAATTAGCTTTTCCCCCTTGATACAGAGGGACATCGATACGAAAAGTATATAAACCTTCCAAATTTACTTAATGAAGAACCTTTAAGCGAGGTTCGAAACAATCATCGTAAGTAGCTTGGAATTATTTCTTATATGCTCACCCTCATACCCCTAACATAATTATGAAATCGTCTCATTTTAATAAAAAAAAACAGAAAGTGATGCTCCAGGTTATAAGAGAGAAAATACCGTAGTATTAGTAGCGCCGAAACAATACTATAAAACACATCATATTGAAAGCTTGTTAGTTACCAAAGATTCGCTTTTGCTGGATTTGAGTTATTGCACGTTATCTGAGGCAAAATATAAAATGTCTTAAAATATTCCTACTATACGATAATTGAAACGAATATTAGATCCAAGCGACAAGATAACCAGAGGGACACTATCCAAATCAATAAAAGAAACGACAACAAACAACTCATATTCATTTACAAATATCTTTCAATCTTGAAAGAATTTTGTGCAACAATGTATAAATTGTAGACTTTAAGTACACTGTTTTGCATGCGCAAAAACAAAAATGCAACTTTCAGCTGAGTCGACATTTTCTTGATGACAAAGCATGAGCAGAAAAAAAATCATTATATCAATCTAAATATACAAAGTGATGATGCACTTTAGCATGAAACTTATTGGTCAGACAGTGCACATCAGCTAAGATAAGCGATAGTATAAATGTTTTTATCACGATGCGATTGAATCATACTCATTTTTTCTTTCATCCAACGCAGGTGAGTATTCAGAGATAGAGTAATGTTTTTATTTATAATTAAAATATTTAGATGCAATCTATTTCGATTCTTACAATTGTTGTGCTCGCTTTCAGCTGTACATTAGCTCGCGATGTGACCCTCAATCGACAGTGGAATTTGTGGAAAGATGCGCACAACAAACACTATTCTAATGCTGAAGAACATTTTCGGTATGAGATATTGTTCTTCATTTCTATATCAGATTGATCATTAAATCCTGAAATTATAGTCGTACTATCTGGGAAAATAATTCGAAGATAGTTGAAGAACACAATCTTCTAGCTGATCTTGGTGTTCACACATACTGGCTCGAAATGAATAAATATGCTGATTTAGTAAAGTTTTATCCCATATACTTCGACTATAGTTTGTTGATAATGTTTTTTTGCAATTAGACTGTTGAAGAATTTGTGAAAGTATTGAATGGTTTCAATGGTAAGTTGCGAGAAGAACGTAGTCAAGATCATCAAACGTTCGCATCGGATCCAAATGTTGAATTACCAGATACTGTTGGTATGTATCGAAACGAATGAAAATTGTGATCTGTACAACTGTTTGATTGTTTTCTTAATAGACTGGCGTGACAAAGGTGATGTTGTACATGTCAAAGATCAAGGTCAATGTGGATCATGCTGGGCTTTCTCAGCAGTTGGCTCAATCGAAAGTGCATATGCCATTAAAACTGGCAAACTTGTTTCACTCTCTGAACAACAATTAGTTGATTGTTCTGGTAAACAGGGTAATATGGGTTGTAATGGTGGTTTGATGGACCAAGCCTTTGAATATGTCAAAGACGCCGGTGGTATTGAAAGCGAAGCTGCATATCCATATGAAGCCGTTGGGAAGACATGCGTGTTCAATTCATCAGATGTTGTTGTCAAAGTTTGTGGATTCACTGACATTGCATCAAAAGACGAAGCAGCTCTTCAACAAGCCGTTGCTACTATTGGACCAATGTCGGTTGCTATTGATGCCAGTCACATATCATTCCAGTTATATAAACAGGGTGGTATGTATTTTTCATCACTTCTCGTCTCCTAATATGATTTTACATGATTGGTTTAGTCTACAATGAACCACTTTGCTCACAAGACCAACTTGATCACGGTGTTCTTGCTATAGGTTATGGTACAGACTCGGGCAAAGATTATTGGCTAGTAAAAAATAGGTAATTATTATGCTTTAGATATTTTATTGAATATTGTACTATTTGTTTATCATCGTTTCAGCTGGGGTACAGGTTGGGGTGACCAAGGTTATATCAAAATGACACGTAACAAACACAACCAATGCGGTATTGCCACGATGGTTAGTTATCCAATTATTTGTTGAGAGGTTTTTCACATTTTTCATTGACTTTTGATTATATTTTAATAATATTCAAGAAATAAAAAAGAAGAGTTCTAACATTTAAGTGTGTGGGTGGGTGTTGTACATTTCACTAACTACACCCACACCCTTCGTACTGATAAATTTCATTTTTAACGTGCTTTAATTTGATATAAAATTTGTTGTTGATACTATTCGAAAGTACAGCGTTGCTCTCCTGGAATAATATTATTTTCACCCTAGTACAACAAAGATTTTATATTTATGAATGAAGTAATAAAGGAAAAAAATTATTATAACGTATGTGAAATTAATTGAACTATTTAATAATTTCTTGCTTTTTATCGACGTCAGCTTTCACTAATAAGAACAAGTAAAGCAAGAAAGACAGTTAGGCTTTTTTTTTGTCTTCATGGCTTGTGTTAATATCTGATTTAGAAAAATAATTTGTTTGTATTGAAGATTTACTCGATGAAATCTTTTATGAGATTTTTTATTATCTCGATGGATTCCATCTGTTTGAATCATCTTCAAATTATAATACTAGCTTTCGAAAAAAACATGTTTGCGAGAATATTATTAATCGAAACAAATTTCGAATTCTTTCACTTCAATTATCAAATATAATGGCTGCTTAAAATTTTTTGAAATTAGATACTATTAATTCATTATTCAATCGTATTCATCGAACATAAACTTCAATTACTTCTTGTGTAATTAGTTTCATTACCACACTTCTACTTATTGAATATTTCTCGTGTTGGAAATTCGGAATCTTTTGATAGTATTTATCAATTAATATTTCTTTTACTTTTATTAAAATATAATAAACTAACTTATGGATCATGAAGAGTATCTGTTGCATTGTCATTTATTACAAACAAACAATTTAGTTCTTTTGAATATTTAAATATTGATATCATTATAATTCTAAATGAATTTATCGCTATGCTTTCATACACGACTCAATTACGTCGTTTAACTTGTAGATTGCTGTCGTTTACAATTGTCTGAATTTGAGATATTTACTAAGAAGTTTGTCTCATAATTAAAAGTATTATATTTGAATACATCTGAGAATATAACATTTGTTGGTGCTAATCGTTTGCAAATATTGATTTTTATAGTATATAACACATTTACACAAGTTCGAATTTGAATATCACGAAAATATTTCTAATATTTTTCAGTAAGGACTATATTCATCAACAAATCAATCAATTTGCCTCGTTGTTTTGTATCGAAAGATACTCGAATAACATATTCGATTCATTCATATAGATATAGAGATTAAAAACAAAATCTTTTCTTTTCTTTCTGATAATTTCTTTTTGAAGTTTAGGAAATAATGCTATCATTTGTGTAAATAAATGAAAAATGATAAATACGACAGATAAGATAATCGTACTAGTTTCACTTTAGAGAAAACACGGCAAATTAGTTGATTTCATTTTCTCGAAATATTGATCTAATTGCAATCAATCGTTATCTTTTCGAAAAACATCAATTTTTTATTCAGAATATTAAATCTATATTTCACTTAGTAAAAATTACTTCTTTCAATATTGATTTATATTATCTGTCGATTAATTGATTTGCTTTTTAATTTCATATATAGGG